AAGCCCATTTAGGTCTAAAATTTCGTGCTCCTTACTTCCCTATGTGCCAAACCAAGTTTTGAACCAAGTCTCTTCCATGCAAAGTGTCATTTAAAACAACAATATGAAATTTGACTAAGTTATTTTACACATGTGATAAATATGAAAATATTCAAACCGTAATATCTTTTTGCATGTTTTTTCAAAATCCATCTAAAAATTCACAAACACACATGAAAAATATAAAGTAGCCATGCATACATGCAAATTAGCCAAATTGAAAAATCAACTCAAAATGTTGACTTTTTAACTTAGGTTCAAATGTAACTTTTAAGACCAAATATTGCAACCCTAATGGACCTAAAACTAATGCACACATCAAATTTTAAATTTTTTCTTGAATTCCCAACAAATTACAAAATGATCAAAATACCCCTAATATGCACACTTTCTCATTAGGGTCTAAAACCCTAATTTAACACCAATAATACACATTTTAAGGTTTCCTGTCATGAAATGTGGTCCTAAATGCCTAAGAAAAGTGTGTAACAAATATAACCTATCAGCATTTCCATCATTATTTTCGTTACTACTATACGAATATAACAATATCATTCTAATTTTATCTGATGTCCTTGAAGGGATTTTTTTATATGATTTTGCTTCACTTCCAATTTTGTCATGGACATATTGTTATATGATTTTGCTTCACTAAAAGGAACTGATGATCTAAAATGGAAGAAATTGAATTTGTAGCCTAATAAAAGGCGTTAAAATCAATCAGGCATTAGTTTTGATCTAGTCTCTTAATACATGAAAAATTATGGTTTGAATTATCTTTCAAAAGAATCGCCTACATTTAGGTCTCATTTGGTTATTAAAAATGATGAAAATAAAATGGATTGAAAAAATTAAAATAAAAAATAAATTAAATCATCATTTCCTCTCATGATAAATATAATAAAAGTTAATATTATATACCACATATGTGAGAATTATCACACCTTTAAAAAACTTCATAAATATCACTTCTAACTTCATGAATTAAATTACTCCTTTTTCTTTATGAATATGGTTCAACTGTCTCCGTCCACATTTTGATCATCTTATTTTTATATTTATTTTTTAATTTATTCAATTCTATTATTTTCTAGCAATCAAACAAGACTTTAATGTTTGACTGTAACTTAAATAGTATCACTTCTAATAGAATTGTCAATAACAACTAGTTTTGGGCTTGACTCTTATAAACTTAGCCTTTAAGAGTTCAAGCTCCTAAGCATGCATAAGCTAAATTGATCATATTTTTCAAGTTTGACTGCATTGACAAGGTTTAAGGCCAAACTCAAAAGGTTGCATAATTTTTTTTTTAAAAAAAATTGTAATTATGTCAATAATTAGGTGACTAAGGGTTATGGGATCAAACATTTCCTTGACTACTTAAACCAATCATCGCTTGAATAAAAACGTCGCTGGCACCGGAGCTCTAATAATCTTGCCATCAATAGGGGTTTGACGGTGGTCCTGTAGCTTGAGAGGCAGTTTGATCTTTTGACCTTACAAATTAATATCGATCAAGGATTAATGGACTGTATTGTAATTGTAAAGTTAATTAGTATTTAATTGGTATTAATTTATTATTGAGATCCTTGGTTGCCATTTTCCCAAAAGCTTTTTATCATCATGTTCTAGTACTATCTAGCTCGGAACATTCCTAGAAAGATTCTTAAAAGTTCACATGAATAATGATTCTTGTGCCATGCGCACAATAAAGAAAAATTAATTCTCATCCCATCCAACAAAACTTATAAAACAGATTGCACATCTCAATGGAATATTTTACAAATTTATTTTTAAGATAAAATTATAAAGTTTTAAAATTTTTCTACAAACTTAATCATTACTCCCTTCATTTTATATATAAGAGAAAATAAATATATCACACAGTTTAAAAAAATTGATTAACAATAATAATTATATCTCAAATTAAAAAAATTATCTAGAAATAAAAAATTTGACTCAAATACCCTTGTAGTTAATCAAAATGAGGCTACATTAATTGTTTCTTATGAATGAAAATTATGAATTTATGAGGGTAATTTAAAAAAATTGTAATAAATGCCTATTGAGATATGTAAATTTTACTTATATATAAAAACAAAACAACAAGTTATAGTTTTCTTATATATAGAAACAGGGAGAGTAAGGCCTGCAATATCATTTTAATTTTCTTTTCATTTAAAGGTTAATATTGAAAATTATTATTAATGAAACTTTATTTTTCTCAAATTTTTTTATAATTTGAGATAAAAGGAATATCAAATCTAAATTATCTAAAATACATATAGATAATTAACTTATAAAAATTATTAAAAAATTTAAAATTAAATTGAATCACCTAAATTATATTTGTATTCTCTAGGTTATATCTAGATAATCAATTTGTAAAATTAAAAAAATTGTATTAAATTATATAGTCTAAAGATTAAATCTGTACATGCCATATTGATGATGAAGATTTATTAAAATTTTTTATAATCTTTATTTTGATAAATAGAAAATAAAAAAAAATTTAAGTTTGAATAGTCCAGATCTCACTTGTTGTGATGAGTAACATTGTGATATGCAGTAAAGACACTCCAAATTTGATATTAAATTTTTACATAATTTTTATTTTAATAAAATATAATATTTAGAATATCTAAAAATTAATTCAAAATCAATCGCAAGAGATATTTTGATATTAATTTTTATATGTCAGTTCTGTTTGTTATAGATGTTTGCATGTCGGTCATCTTCCTTCATCCCATTCCCACATAATGTGGTCCTCTTTGTTGGGTTGGTATAATTCTCAGATCTCCTTCTCAGGTCGCTCCAAGTTTGTGGCAATGACTTCTTCTGGGCCAAGTTTTAAGTTGAGCGCAACATTGCATTTGGATTTCTTCAAAGCCCAATTATTCAGATATGTGGCAAATGTCTAACTCGAAGTCTCTTGCTTTGACATCCTCTGCATGTTTCTTTACTTGAGTCTCTTAGGCTGTTAAGTTGTAACATTGCCATGATGAAGCAAAAGAGGAGTGATTTAAAACAGTAATGGCTCTCACGCTCCCAGCAAGAAAAACATCTCTTCACCTAAGCCCTCCTCATTCAGAGGAAGAAGATGATCTACTTGCCAGAAGCTCAAAAAAGATAAAAAAACACAGAAGCAGCTAAGTTTAATTTGCTTAAGGTCACTGGCTAAAGCTCGGTTCAAATGAAACAGGGGGTACTTCAAACAGACAAACCTTTGCTAAAAAACTGAAGGGTATCAGTAAAGAAGATGCTATGTCTGAAGATGAAGCTGATAAACAAGTGATGAGCTAGAGGATGATCAGAATGCAAATAACATGGATGAAGAAAACGAAGAAGCTTTCTCAATCATTGAAGATCCAAAATGAAACTTTCCAACTTTCGTTTTCTCTTCAAAGGAGAGGAAAAGGCTATATCGTGCCTGGAAGAAGGCGGTAATAGTAAAGCTCTTGGACAAAACTATTGGGTTTAAAGCCTTGGAAACCATATTACAAGCAATGTGGGCAAAAAAAGGTGTGATCAGACTTATCAATATAGGTCATGTCTATTTTATGCTTAAACTCTCAAATAAGGAGGATTACTTCACAGCACTTACTAGAGGTCCATGGATGATATATGATCATTATCTCACTGTGAGACCTTAGGAGCCACGATTCAAACCTCAGGAAGCTACCATCGACAAGGTAGCATGCTGGGTTAGGGTGCCAAAGGTGTTTCTTGATTATTATGATAATGAAGCCCTTACAGTTATTGGTGATAGGATTGGCAAAACTCTGAAAGTGGATATTCACACTTCCTGCCAACTACGGGGCCATTTTGCAAGAATTTGTGTTTTAGTGGACCTTGGTAAACAATTAATAGCAAGTTTTCATTTAGATGGAGAGGACTACCACTTGGAGTATGAAGGATTACACATGCTATGCACAAGCTGTGGCATATACGGTCACAGATAGGAAGTTTGCACTACAAAACAAGCTACAGCCCCTGGTGATGGAAAAACAGAGCAACATGTAGAAGCAATAGTAACAGTTCCAGAAGGTCTCCAACAAGGGATATTGGCATAAGATCAATGGTCAGTGGTGCAAAAAAATCGATGACCAAGGAAAATGCAAGAAAAGACGATGAAAAATCAGCGACGGGATCCCTCTGGTTCAAGGTTCGGAGTTCTTGCCAATGACGGAGAAATGCATGAAACTGAAGTAAATGGTACAGTGCTTTTCATGCAGGAGGAGACACAATCTGACATCAACATCCCACTATGCAAATACAAACAAAAAAAGGACAAAAAGGCAAGGAAAGGGAAGAGCATAGAGGATGACACTGACTTGGAATTAATTGCAAAGCATAATGCAGTGGTGCAGCAGATGGTGCTCCCTCATGAGTCAAACGGAAATATGCAGCAACAGCAAAGGGACTATGTTCAAAATATGGCTTCAAAGCAAAAAGAAGAAAATTTCTGTGTACGGCATACGAGTGCAAGTAAATGGGTAGAAAAGAGAACAAGGGAAATAGTGGGATAACACACTAGAAATAATGAAATTTTGATGCTGACCTAGGAGGAGAATGACAATGGTTCGATCAAGGCCATAAATATAGGACTTACGTGCAACAAACTCTCGATGATATGGCTATTTGTCCCAAGCCTTATGATTCATGAGAGAACCACAAAGCAAAACTGGACCCAGGAGATCAAATTGGGCCTCATAGCTAAATGACGAGCTCTAGCGAGATGTCTCTGGACTCCTTTGTGCCAGAGACCCACTTGTCATCTGGACCATAATCCTCTCTAGGGCCTTATGTCTATTCCCTATTTCTATGATTAATAAACTATTTTATTGGAATTCTAGGGGGTCTTGTGGACCTGGACTTCTTAGGAATTTAAGAACTATACTTTCAGGAACCAAGCCCAGCGTACTAGTCTTATCTGACACCAGATGCAATGATGAAGCATGCTTGCACTGCATTTTCTCATTAGGTTTTGACAGAGTTAAATTATACCCAGTGTTGGTCGTTCAGGTGGAATAATGGTGGCCTGGAACACTGAAAAAAGCCATATTCAGATCTTGGAAGAAGATAGGCAATTTTTTCATCTCCGCTGCTGCCTTAATGGAGCGCCATCATTCTTTATCATAGCTGGGTATGCTCTCTCCCATTCTGGGTTTGGGGAAATTCTCTGGAACAAATTATTGGAACTCTTAAAAAAAAATTTTGAACTTTGGATTGTCTATGGAGATTTTAATGATATAGCATATTCATCGGAGAGGATTGGAGGCAAGTTTGGAAATAAGCCTCACATCGACTGGTTCAACGCTAGAATAAATGAATGCAAGCTTATTGATTTGGGCTTCGAAGGATCCAAATTCACATGGAAAGGACTTCGACTTCCTGGTTGTGGTCGTCTTCTTGGGAGATTAGATCGAGCGATAGCTAACACCGCCTTCTTATCATCCTTTCCAAATTGCTCTGTTAAGGTAATACCCTGAATATCCTTTTCAGACCATAATCCTTTATCTATTCTGCTTAATAGTGCATCTGATTTGAAGAAAAATTTAAAGCCTTTTCGATTTGAAGCCATATGGATGTCTCACGAGAAGTTTTTAAATTTCCTCAAAGACACTTGGATTGCTAGAAATCACTTTGAGGATAATTTGAATATCTTTCGTGGCTCTGTGCAAATTTGGAACAAGGAAGTTTTTGGTATGGTTGAGGCTAAGAAAAAACTGATTTTAGCAAGACTTAATGGTATCCAAAGATCTCATGCTTATCCTTACTCTAAATTCTTACACAATCTGGAAACCTCCCTCCAGTCGGAGTTGGAAGAAATTTTGATATGGGAAGAAACAAAGTGGTTTCAAAAGACTAGAACAGAATGGATAAATAGCGGAGATAGGAATACCAAATATTACCACATGAAAACAACTTTGAGAAGAAAGAGGAACAGAGTTTTATCTCTAAAAAATGAGGAAGGAAATTTGATTGAAGGTGACCAAGAACTTCATCTGCTTGTCTCTCAATTTTTAAGAATTAGTATAGTGCTGAAGACACTGACATGACGTTGTTGTCTACTAAATCGTCTTTCCCTGCTATCAACCTAACTGTTGTTGAGAGTTTGACTACTATCCCTTCCAAAGACGAAATCGGAAAGGAAGTGTTCTCCATGGGTCCCTATAAAGCTCCAGGATTTGATGGTTTTCCTCCAATTTTCTTTAGATCTAATTGGGAAATTATAGGGGAATCGCTTTGTAGATTTATCACAGAATTTTTCCAAGGTACTAAGTCTGTAGAAGAGGCTAACAAGACTTTAATCTCACTAATTCCTAAAAAAGACAATCCTTTTTTGGTGAGCCACTTTAGACCAATCTCCCTGTGCACGGTCCACTATAAGTGTATTGCAAAAATCATCAATCAACGGTTGAAAGTCTGTTTGGATTCAATCATATCCCCCTTTCAAGCTAGTTTTGTTCTGGGAAGACAGATTCAAGACAATATAATCATAAGGCAGGAAATCATGCACATTATGAAAAAAACAAGGAGAAAGCCTGGTTTTTTCGCTATGAAGATTGATATTGAAAAGGCATATGGTCGCATAAGGTGGGAATTTCTTAAACAAGTTTTGATTGAAGCTGGCATGAGTTCAGATTTTATATCATTAATAATGAATTGTATCTCAACAGTCTCTTATAATGTTCTATGGAATGGGAACCAATCTGAGTTCTTTTCTCCCCAGAGAGGCCTTAGGCAAGGAGACCCCTTGTCTCCCTTCTTATTTGTAATGTGCATGGATAGGCTTTCCCACCTTATAAATGATGCTGTCGATTCTGGTCAGTGGAAGCCAATTCATGTTACCAAACAGGGTCCTTTGATCGCGCACTTAATGTTCGTAGATGATTTACTTCTCTTTAGTGAGGCTTCATAAAAACAAGCCTTAGTAATGATGAAGTGTTTAAAGAATTTTTGTTTTGCTTCAGGAGAAAAAGTGCATTTTTCAAAGTCCTCTCTCTTTTTCTCTAAAAATGTAAGTGCTGAAATGAAAGGTATTATTAAGAGAATAGCAGGCATGAAAATTTTAGCTAAGATAGGCAAATATCTTGGTTTTCCTTTCGTGGAGGATAGACGACCAAGAAATAAAATTAATTATATTGTGGATAGGGTGAAGTCGAAATTAGCAGGATGGAAAACTAACTGTCTCTCTATGGCAGGGAAGGTAATTCTAGCTAAATTTGTCTTAAGTGCTATTCCCTTATATCCTATGCAAGTGGCAAAAGTGCCTGTTTCTGTTTGTAATGGGATTGAGAAAATTCAGAAAAAATTTATTTAGGGAAGCTCTTCTTCAAAGGGTTTTCACGCAATCAGCTGGGGCAAAATCACCCTCCCTAAAGTTTATGGTGGCCTAGGCTTCAAAAAACTTTCTTCAGTCAACGAAGCTTGTGGGGCAAAGCTTGCTTGGAAGCTTGTTACTAGTAATAAAGATCTTTGGGCTGAATTGTTGCTAAATAAATATATGCTCAGATTTGAGGAGAATTTATTAAATAGTGCTCAAGGAGATTCAGCTCTGTAGAAGTTCATTTGTCAACAAAAAAATCTAGTGGAAGAGGGAACTAGATGGCAACTTAGAAATGGGGAATCCATTAATTTCTTTGAGGATCTGTGGCTATTTTTAGATAAAAAAATTAAGGATCTGGTTATTAGACCACTTTCTACCGAGGAAACTAACTCCAAAGTTGTACAGTGGACTCGCTTTGGAACTTGGGACTTCTCTTCTTTATCCCTCATTATGAGTAATCAGGTTATTTCTATACTCATCTCTATAATGCCTCCTTATCATGCTGCTAGCTGTGATATTATGCTATGGAATGGCACCTTTAATGGATCTTTCACTCTGAAAAGTGCCTATTTTATGATTGAAAAACCCCCTCCAATTTTGTTTGATCCTAATTTCAAATTAATTTGGAAATGGAAAGGGGCTGAGAGAATTTGCTTCTTCATTTGGATGTCTTATCATAATAGAATCCCTACAAATAAGTAGCGAAACTCTTGGGCAGGTTGCTCCCCTTTATGTTCTTGGTGTCTCATAGAAGAGGAAGATGTTATGCATATTGTTAGGGACTGTTGTTATACACGTCAGATCTGGTGCAATTTGTTACCTAGTGTAAATCATGCTGCTTTTTTCAATTTGGATTTGAAAAACTGGTTTGAACACAATCTTAAGGGTTCTTTCTCTAGAGTCTCCCCTAGTTGGAACCTTATTTGGGGTGTAACAATTTGGAATCTGTGGAAGTGGCGAAATTGCTTTACCTTTCAGGAAGGATTTCAAAAGCCTGCTGATCCTATAGCAAATATCCTCCAGAACTGGAAATATTTTGTCATGAGTGAGGATGCTATTTCCAAGGATCATGAGATTGCCAGGTTATCTATCAAATGGAACCCCCCACAAGTGTAGGTGAAATTCAATACTGATGGTGCTGTCAACCTAACCTCCAAAAAAGCTGGCTGTGGGGGAGTGCTCAGACACTACAATGGTGTTTGGATTGCGGGTTTTTCAGAGATCCTTGGTCAGTGCAACCCGTTTGAAGCAGAGGAATGGGCGGTTATGAAAAGTCTTCAATTAGCTTGGGATATGGGATTTAAAAACATCATAGTTGAATCTGACTCAAAAACTTTGGTGGAATCAATTAATGATTATCCAAAACCCCAGGCTAGAGGAAGCTTAGTCCTTTTGGAAATCAAGAATCTACTCAAGTTTAGCTGGAATGTAGTGGTCAATTTTGTCCCGCGTGAACAAAATATGGTGGCAGATTCTTTAGCAAAAGCTGAAATTTCTAACTCATCTCTATTTGATTCAGTTCCTTTGTTTCTAAGGGACTTGCTCTTAAAGGATTGTATGGGATTTAAATCCCCTGACTTAGTCTAATTTTATTTACTTGGGCTTTGCCCCCACTTTTATCAAAAAAAAAAAAAAAGAGGAGTGATTTAGAGTTACTAATTTAAGCCAAATTAGATGGGTCAATCTGAACTCACTCAAAAGATTTAGGATTAAGTTCGAAAAAAATTAGTTTTTTAATATTCAGGCCTCTTGAATAGGCTTGAGAAAATTCTGGCCAAACCTGATCTGATTCAGGCTTGGCCTAAATACTTGAATAAAAAAATAAATTTTTTAAAAATATATAAAATATAATAATTATTAATTAATTTTTAAAGTTTTATATCATTTTATATCAAAATACTATATATTTGAGTGTATTATTATAGTTATTTTTTAAAATAAATTAAAAAATAGTTATATTTTCATATTTTTATTATTTTTAATTAATAAAATATTTCAAAATAATATTTAAAATATATTTTAATATTGATTTTTATATTTTAAGACCCAATTTTTTTAAAAAATTTTTTGAGTCTTATACATCATTTGAGTATAAAAAATTAATTTTATATTTTTTTATAAAATAAGATAATGAATTTTAAAATAAAATTAAAATTAAAAATAAGTTTGAAAATAAAATTCAGACATGTACGAATTTCTAACTTTACTACTAGATAAACATAATAAATAGAATAATATTCTTGAATAATTACTTGGTTATTGTCCATGCTAGACTTAATTAAAAATTAAAAATAAACTAGAGCAAAAACCCCTTACATGTAAGGGTTAAGCAATATAAAAAGTTAAAGAAAAATGATTTCAAAAAAATAATATTTTATTTTTCTTTATATAATATAATGATGGCTATTTTTTTATATTCATAAAAATAAAAAGTATAATTCACCCAAAAGTTATTAAAAATTTTGAATTAATTGAGACAATAATTTAAAATTAGTAATCTAACCGTGATTGAATTGAGATCAATTTAATTATAATTAAAATAATATAATTTAATTAAAATATATAAAACATTTATATATGACTATGATAAAACATTCATGAATAAATTACATATAATACAATAAAACAATAACAAAACTACTTAAGTATAAAGTTGATAAGTTATTTTTTATTTTATTCTTTTAAAGTTAAAATAATATTTTATGTTTAATAGAATTATTTAAAAATTAAAATTGATTTAAAAAATAAAAAATATTTTTAAAAAGTTTCAGGTATTCAGGCCGGCCCCAATAAGCTTGAAGCCTGAAGCCTGAAGGCTTTAGGGTTGAGCTTGGCTATATGAGCTTTTTTAGAAGGGGTAGGATGTTTTAAGCCCAATCCGAATAAGTCCATCCCGAATTGAGCTCGGCTCGCCCAAATTACTGATTCTAGAGTGATTATGCTACCTCTTTTTTTTCCCCAATGATGATGCTACCTCTTTTGATGACTCTAACTTGTCAATTAATTTTTAATTATGTCTAAATTTAAACATATTTAATTAAAATTGATTAAAATTTATTTAATAAATTTGTATTTTAACTTTTCGTTATTTTTGGACTTTTTTAAATAATTAAACCCTCAACAGAGTTTTTAATTAAAAATATATTAGTTAAGAGTTATGGCGACAGGTCAATGCAGAACTTGTCTCCATAAATAAGTAATTAATTAAAACATATAAATATAAATGTATTAAAATAAAATTAATTAATAATTTAATTTAACTTAACTTAATATTTAAATTTCTTTTAATGTGTCTGAATTAATATGTCTGAAATTAGACATAATTGAAAATATAATTAACAATTTATTTTTTTTAGTTAATTTAATTAATTTATTGAAATTCATTTATTGTTTCTAATTAATTAATAAATTTATTAAAGGATAAATTGGCCCATTGTCCCAAAAAAATTTTGTGCCCAATAACATATGAACTAAACTTTTAAAAATTTGAGACTGTGGCTAGTTTACATTGATATGCAAGAAATTTATCATTGATATATAAAATATTTATTAATGATATACAAATAATTTTTTATTGAAAATTTATAAGAGGATTATCATTGATATACAATGGTATACTCCCTCCGTTTCTGTTTGTAAGAAAAACTATCACTTTTTACTTTTTTTTATATAAGAAAAATTACTTATTTCAATAAACATTTATCACACATTTTCTAAATTACCTCTCATAATTTACATTAATAAGAAATAATTAATACATATTTATATTGATTAATATAGGATATTTTAGTTTATTTTTTTATTTTCAGACATAATCATTATAATTAACTAATTTTTTTAAACTATGTAATACATTTTTTTTATATATAAAAATGAAGGGAATATCATTGACAAATATAATAAATCAACTATAATACAAGGTATAATAAAAATTAAATTATTTTATTAGTTTGGTATTATAATATAAACTATATTTGTAAAATTTCCTTTGTTAAATTTCATTTAACGTCTCTCAATTAATTAAATCAAACACATTTATGACGATAGACACCCAACAAGCTTGTTCGCCATAAATGTGTTTGATTTCAAATATAAGTAATAAACACAATCAAAAATGTAATTAATATTTTAATTTAATTAATAATTAAATAACATTTAATATATGAAGTTTTAGATATTTTATTTCTGGCAACAAGCTCCCCATAGGCCTGTCACCATAAATGTATCTGATTTCAATCAATGTAATGTGAGTGAATGAGACACAATTAAGAATTAAATTAATGATATATTTTAATTGATTTATTTATTTAATTTCATCTAATGTTTTACACAAACATTCATTGAGATAGTTTGTTTTTAAGTCTGTCACTATAAAGGCTATATTTTTCAAATTATTTACATATTTGTCACTAAATCTAATATTATTATAGTTTTTGGACAATCCGTAGCAAAAAATGTATAATCAAAATTATATTTATGTACTGTAAAACGATAGATGAATAGAAATCTACATTTGATAGGATGGAAAAAGACCCAATGTAGATGCTTTCTCACTTCAAAAGTTTGAATATTGGAGATCTTCTCAAGGAGTTGGCTTTCTTTGAAGGAGAAAGAAGCTCAGTCAATTCCTTCGTTGACGAAGAACGTTAATTACCAAGAGATAAAGAGAGAAGACACTGAAAGGTCAGAGACACGAGTTGAGGGAAAGAAGTGCCATACTTAAAACATAAATGGTCAACATTGGCAGAATAGTTTGTTGAAAATGAAAATATTCCTGTCCTTTTTTTTTTTGTCATGTTTATTCATGCAATTGTTCTCTTCATGTTAATCCATGCTGTTATTTTCTTTTTTGTTTGTTTTTTAGATTTTGCTTTGCATATTCCATCTCTTTTATGAGTTGTTTGTGGTAGAGCTCCTTGACTGTTCTCATGAAAATTAAAATGAGCAACATGGCAACTAGTGATATGAAATTCAGACCGGATCAAACGGTCTGACCAGCTTGGCCACCACCCACTAAATAAAATGACTTAATCTAATTAATTAAATCAATTTGATAACTGAATTGGATTGATTCGAATTGAACCGTCAAATTTTAAGAGAATTTTAAAAGAATCGAATTTAACCTGAAACTTAAAGCGGTTTAATCCCGATCAAACTTAAAATAGGAAAAATGGGGCTTTCATTTTTCACTTCACGCCTTCACGCTCACGGTCTCACCTCGTGGTCTGAGAGTCACGCTTATGTCTCTCACCGTCGCGGATTCACCTCCCCCACTCTCGCCTCTCGCCTCTCGCCATTCTCATCTCCCTCAACTCTCAATCCTTGATTCTCTCCTCCAGTCTCGCTTGAACTCTGTCTGATTCTGGTGCCCCAGCTCCAGCATTTCGCGTCGCAGGCGGGAAGGGAAGACAGCTCCAGAGTCCAAAGCTTCACGTCGCTGTCGAGATCGTGAGGTCGTGTCTCTGCATCCAGTCGAGTTGCTTGCCCTCCAGCTCCACCCAGCTCCAGAGTCTAGAGCTTCGCGTCGCCGTCGAGATCGCGAGCTTGTTCCTCTGCCTTTGCCTCCAGTCGAGTTGCCTCCAGCTCCACCTAGCTCCAGCTCGCTGTCGAGATTTGCTCGGTTCAGTGCTCACTCAGCCTTTTTCACCGTGAGTCGTGCTCTGCTCTAAAAATCTCCAAAATATCACCGAGGGTAAAGTCTTAAATCCAATTTTCTCCAGGCTTCAATTTTCTATGTATTTGACTCTGCTCTCCTAAATTCTGAATTCAGGAAGCTTGAGCTTAGAAATCGATGAATAAATAAAATTGCAGCCACATAGATTAATTAGTTTCTATTTTTGAATCCACGCCTATTCACTTTGGCAAACATAGTTGTGATGTACTGATGTATATAATGGACAGTTATGGACAACAAAAAGAAAGCAGTCTATATGCACTATTCGTTCAGCCATTTATCTATGCATTCTTGTTTGCTTTATCTTCCCTTGCTTTAAAGTATTTGTTGATTGTTGATTAAGTACAATCCTGCACGAAATGCTGACTGGAATTCTTTGTAGTCTCCCTTCCCACACATGCATGTCAATCTGCAGCAATTTTATTGTGGAGAATTTGATCTAGATATGAGAATTAAAACTGATGTTATGGATTTGTTAACTTTGCAATGATATGTTAGTTTGTTGACATTTTTATGTATTTTGGATTTGTGGTGTTGTTGTTTGGGCAATTAGAACATATTATGCAATGTGCATTTGTGGTGTTGCTTGATATATTATTTTTTTTGACAAATAAATGTTTTATTTATATATATGTGTATATAAATATTGTTTTTATTTAATTTTTATATCACCGCGGTCAAACCAGTTGAACCATGAGAACCATGACCCGTTACTCTTTTCGATTCAACATTTGGTTTGGGTTTCACAACGTTGATAGCAACAGTGATCTTGTCTATTGCTTAGCCTAGATGATGTGATATGTCCTGTTTATGGTTCTGTCAAGTGCTCTTCAATCACAATAGGAAGAGCCTCTACACAAGGTAACAATGAATAGTCAGGATTTTGTTGAGACAAGTATATATGTACTTCGTGTGACCCTAACACAATTAGTTCCTAATAGTTCATCATAGTGTTACAAGTATGACCATTGGACCAACAAGAACTTGGGCCCTAGTGGAGATATGAGTCTCTTGATTTGCATCTAGCAACTGTCTAAGCTGAGTGGATTAGATCATGGCCACACTCACATGTCAAAGTATAATATTTTTTCTTTTAAATCTAAACAATGAAAACTCGATTGTCAAAACTCCACCCTTGTAATTTTTGTTGGCCTAAAGAAAAACCCATGTAGTTTGTGAAATGACAAGTCACAGAGTTAAAAACCCTCACCATATAGGTTAGAATTTCAATGGAGCTCAATGTTGATGCAATGAAAACTCGATTGTCAAAATTTGATTTGGATAGTTTGGGTTTAAAATTTTATTTTACATTTTTAAAATAATAAATTTATTTTTAATAGAGTTTCAGAATATTATCTTTTTTAAAAAGAAAATCGGTTAGAATATTATCTTTATTTTAGAGTTTAGATTATGAGTCTATCAAGATAAAACTATCAAAAATATATGACTAAATAGGGGTTTTTGCAGATATAGCTTATATTATTGGACCAAACCACACTAACAACCTACCATTTATTATATTTTGCATTATGATCATTTTATTATATTTGTCAATGATATACCATTGTATATCAATGATAAACCCATGGTAAATTTTTAAATTTTCAATAATAAACTTTTTATATATTAATATGAACCGGCTATATTTTGAAATTTTAAAAAATTTGGTCCATATTTTCAGGGTACAATATTTTTCTCGACTAGTGAGCCAATTTATCCATCTAAAATAATATTAAACTTAGCTATTGGTGGGAAAAATAATCTCAAATTTGAACCATCCAATTTTATAATTGAAATTTGTCCTAATTAAATGTTCAACTTAATTTTCCATCAGGATTCAGTTTTCAATTTCCGTGCTTAAGGCCAGCCGAAACTACAGAATTAGCTTCCATATGCTTATACCTTTAATGATTATCTTTTTTTTTTTTTGGGTAAGTATAAAGAGAAGATTATGCTAATAACAGAAAATATCTTCCCCACTTGCTTAAGTGAAGAGCTTCTACTATGGCATGTTATGATTGAATTGTCATCAAACCTGTAATAATTAATTTAAAATTTTTTTAATTGGGTTAATATGTAATTTAGACCTTGCACTATAAGTTTAGAGGCAATTTGAAACCTAAACTCTTATTTGAACTCTAAATAATTAAACTTGAGGCAATTATCCTACCGTTAAATTAAAATAAATGTCCATTCCTTTTTTAAAAAAAAAAAAAAACATAGAGAGCCAAAGGTACAATTTTTCCCAAATATCATTCTCCTCCTCTCTCCTACCCTCCTTTGAGGGAAATCCTAGAGGAAGGCACAGGGGCTCTGCTAGGGTTTATATTGGAGGCTGCTTTGAGCTTGTTCAAAGGTGCTAATCTCTTGGGTAAGCTTCTTCTTCATGTCTTCTCCCTCTACTTTACGTTTTATTTCCTTCATGTCTCCTGTAGAAGGAGATGTTGTCCAAACCTAGGACCAATTTTTTGCCACTCTAATGACTTCAATTAAGTCTAATAAGAGTTGCTTATGTTTCTTACCTCTAGTTTGAGTGGTTGGCAGCATTAAATATTATTAATGAGAGGTTTAAGGTTAATTTTAATGTTAAATAATATAGTTTAAGCTGATGAGATTAGCTAGTACTGTTCATTAGGGTTAATGGGAGTTAAATAAGTTACATGGTTAGTTATTTATTAAATCGCAGTTCAAGTCAATCAATATTACGAGGCTCTAGCAGACTTATTTGACTATATGAGTTGTTCATTGAGGCTGCTTCGTGTGTGTGAAAAATCTACTACCTTCCAAAATATTTGTTCCCAAGGTGAAGTTCTCGCTAAAAGGTAACTGAAACTTTTGCTGCTATTTTAGTTTTATTTATCTTCTGCTTTTTCTGGTAAAAAAAAAAAAAAATCTTCTGCTTTGTTTTATTTATCAATGTCCCTGAGATAACTAATGGATCCGTTGAAATGTTTGGGTTTTATCCTTTCTTGAATTTCTCACTTTCGTTGGATGGAATTGTGTTCCACTGCTATTTTCCCTTTGCAAAAAATTCTCGTACACAGATCTTGCGCAGATAAAGTATATACTTCCTGAATCCATGCATATAGGGAAGGTATTAGTACACGACAACAGAAGCTTGTGTATGAAGTCTGATTTGAAGGTTACATTGGTATATGAGGCTGTACTAGGACACTCGAGTGAAGATACTTACGTGGCTCTCCAGCAACTTTTTAGTTCAAAGCAACTTGAGTTCTTCAATACGCATCCAGATGTATTACTCCAATATTGTGTTTTATTTTATTGTATTTGTTTCTAAAGCTATTATGACAACCTTAGCAATAGTTTGTGAAAGGAAAAGGGATTAAGGGAAGTCTTTACTATATTTTAACCAAATGGAGCGTAAATTTTAAATATAAACCTAGAGAGTTATGTTCCTTCTGTTTTACCAAAACTATAATAGCTCTTCTGGTACGTATGTTATCTTTCTCTATTGTTTTGGGTGTGATTTCCATCTGCTATGTTTATGATTCAAAATAAGTGAATCAATATTTTTTGATATTTTTCTTTACTTCTTTTGTGAATGAGAATATTGATATTCCAGAAGCTACACTACCAGAACCTTCCCAACAACGAACTCATAGCTTGATTTATGAAGATTTGCCTGTAGATCCTTCAACAGTACTCTCATCAACAACTTCTGATCAAAATCAACAGCTACAGGAATGTTAGCCATATCCTTTTAAAAGCATTTCTCAAAGAATAATGTTGTGGCAGAGATAGAAAATAATGTTGTAGCAAGTCAAATTTCTCAATCACATCATTTGTCTGATTGCATGGATAATGGAGGTGGCGAAGGTGACTGTGAAGGGCAGAAAAAATGTACTACTTCATGTTTGAAATCTGACAGCACTAGTAATCAGGATATGGAAAAGGGACAACAGAATGAATCGTGTTCTATGGGATTCCAATCAAGCATTGTTAATACACCAGCACGTCTGATTTGCTCTCCATAGTCTGTTACTTATGGTAGCTATGAAAGCCCTTATCTCAAGATTGCCTCATCCACAGATATCTTAATCACAGATACCTGCTTAGTCAACATCTAGAAGATTGGTGCCCAATTCTGATGTTAAACTTAAGATTATGATCGCCCAGAATTCAATTTCATGCAATAAGCAAGTAAAAAGAGTTCTTTTTTCTCAAGAAGGTGATTATGATGCTGACAAATTAGAATCAAGTGGAGATGCTTGTGATAACATCCCTGAAGCTAGTCAAGGATGCACCGAGGATTTTAATGTTTCTAATTCTGTTGTTCTATCCAATAAGGTATGCCTTTTGGTCATGCTTCTATTCTTGAATTCTTCGATGCACGGTATGCTTGCATTTTTATATACAAAAGAAAACTTGTAAATAAAACTTTTTTTATTGTTTTTGGAAGACTTTACTTTTTAGGTGTTATTGAACGGGCATATATTCCTTTTTCGTGGTGTTTCTTGATGCTAGTATTTTGGATCTTGATCTTGGTTCATCTTAAGCCCATTCTACCTTGGTCATTGAATATAAAGAATAAAATATATAGTTGAGTATTGTTTGATTCGAACATCCTTGTATTATAACAAGAGAGAGGCACACACTAAACTTGCTAGCGTCAAAAAGACACAGACTTTTTTTTTTTTTTGGGGCTCTAAAAATATTTAGAAAATGGAGCAGTTGCATAATATAGTTTTTTTTTTTTTGACATTTTCTTTTATAAAAATGGAATTATTTTTTATATTATTCTATAAATTAGACGCATTTTCCCATGCATTTTATGAAATTTGAAGAATGAGGTGCATTGTTCATGACTTATGAATAGTGTGGCTTGATAAAAATTTTATTTTATATATTGATTGATATTGATATTCAAATTGAATAATGGCCTTTTCTGGGGGAAATTCTCAATATCAAAAGGGCTCGTGGAAAAGGAAAACAGTTCTTCATAGTAGAGAGTAGAGATGATGCTATCACATGTGATTGTTGGCTCCTTTTTATTCTATATTGACAACAAGGGTTTTATTAACTGCCCTTTGTTTTAGTTCTTTCTTTATACATTTGTCAACAAGGGTTTTATTAACTGCCCTTTGTTTTAGTTCTTTCTTTATACATTTGTCTTTTTGTTCTCATTTTTTGCCACCGTAATGGTAAAATTTACCATGTATTAAACAGAGCAAAAAGTATTCTGTGTGCCTGTGCTAACAACTATAACTGAAGTCATCTTTATAAATTGCTGGATTTTGCATGTCCAAACTCAACAACGTTTTAATTTGGGGGAGGAAACCCAACCCCCCCCCACCAAAAAAAAAAAAAAAAAACTCCCCAGGCAACCTTTTAAACTAATTACTAAAAGATACATGCATCTCTATTATATTCATCTTTAGTATGGGTACATCTTGGAGTTTGACTAATGTAGTGAGAGTTTAGAATTAACTTTGATGAATTGGCAATGAGGAAGCATGGTATCAATCTGCTGAAAATTCTTGATGTACTAGTTGGCCAATATTTGATCAATTTTTTTTTCCTTTTAGTTTCCTGGTGAATGTTGCATCTCTTTTATGAGTTATTTGTGAAATCATGTGCTATCTCATATTCTTGTCATCTGGATTTAGGACCTTAGTTATATCGGATCTGGATTCTCATTACAGGTGGCAGAGTGCCTTGGCTGTTCCAATGAAAATGCAAATCAGACTCAAGGTGGTTCAACAACCTGGCAGCAGATTCCTTCATCGTTGCATAGCCTTGTTGATGTGATATATTCTATATTTTGTTCTATCAAATGCTCTCCAATCACAAAAGAGGAGCTCCTGCACAAGATAATAATGAATAGTTTAGATTTTGTTGAGATGAATATGTATTGAATGTGACTGTAAAACAAGTAGTTTCTAATTGCGTTTCAGTGTCTTAACTATAAGTGACTAACATGGTCTTCTCTACAGGAGAAGCTGAAGAACAGATTAATTTTCTTGGAAAGGTAGTGCCAGATTGGATCTACAGGAAGTTAGGCCCTAGTGGAGGTATCATGTGCTGGTGGGTCTAATTTGCATCTACCAAACATGGAAGCCGGGTGGACTAAATCATTATCAGATGCCAAATTATTATGTTTCTTAACTTTGTGAATTTTTTTATCTATGAAATTCAGTTTTGATTGCATAAAATGGGTGTTGTTTTTGTTTATTCTCATGCATACAAATTATTGTTCGATAGTAGTGACAGGACATGGGGGGTGAATTTCATTAGATTTGCTGTAACATCCTGAATCGAAGTTCTTCTGTTTTAAGTTGTAATAAACTGAAAATGAAGGCGTTCATAAGAAAAATAATAGGGAAATGAGAACCTTCCCAAATTTTTGATAATTCAAATTTCTACGGGATGCCATGCCACACAAGATGGACTACTTGGTCTACACACTTGTACATGGATCAGAGTAGCTGTTTTGGACCCATCCAATACTTTAGCTTTAGCACATGATGATGATGATGATTATTATTATTATTATTTTGAAAAATTACACTTCTAGACAGTGTCCTGACTCTTGAGGATTTTGCAGTATTAATGAAATGTCAGATTTGGAGTCTGTTCGATCAAGGCTATCTAGCAATAGCATCAAGGCCTAGTGAGTGAGGGCTTCTATTGGCATGGCATGGCTCATGGTCTCATGCAAAATGCAAAATTGTCGCAGTCATGGACTTCTGCTAAGTGTTGCAACTTATGATGAATTATTATTATTTAGGTGAAAAGAGGTCATGAGGAGTGCTAGAGAATTTGAAAGCACAAGTGAGAATACTCAACCGATGTAATTTTATATTGGCCAAAAGGAAAACCCATGCAATTTGTCAAATCACATCACCTTTGCTGCAAGTTATCATTTGTAACTTGTTCAATAACAGACCATTTGGTATTAGGCGAACGAGAGAATGAAATATTAGAAGCCATTCAGGCATTTGCCTATAAAACAATCAGTTTTCGTATTGAATTATATACTTTCGCCATTTTTACTATATCATAATATTCATTGTCTAAGCCAGACCTTAGCAAAACTTGCTGAATCGGTGCCAGAAATGATTGAAAATTTTGCAGAACTGGTCATTAACCAGCTAAAAACTTTGGGAAAAAATTTAACTGGTTCAATTTTTATCTCCCCCCCCCCCCCTCAAATTTCTGTTTATAAATTTTTTAGTCGATTGTACACAATAGCTTTACATTTCAGGATAATTTTTTATCCTATAATCTACCATTACATAAGCATTATTCTCTAATGTAACTATTAATACTTACAGATTTAATGAATAACCTATGACAACTGATTTTTTTTTATCTGACAATGAGATGGAATATTAATTATCAAACTTATAATTACTAATATTTAATAGCCTATGACAACTGATTTTTTTATGTGACAATGAGATGGAATATTAATTATCAAACTTATTATTACTAATGTTTTTTAATTTATAAGGAATTTTAATATATAAAATTAATATATTACTTTCATTACTATCCATTTGACCGTGGTTGCACCATTAGCTTTAAATTATAATCTTAATCAGTTGAATTATTGTCCATTTGGGGCTTACGGGCTTGGGTGCGAATGTGATCGAGTTAGTGTCCCTTCCGGGACTGCTTAAAGGATCAGAAGACAGGACCCAGCCCAGAACCCGCTTGATACATGACTGCTTTAAGTTATCACGGTGATAAATGATTCAAGGACAATGACAGTTGAGTTTTAAAAAATAATAATAACAATTAAATCCTCAATAAGTGTTTTTAAAAAATTAATTATAAATATTAATTTAAATAATTAAAAATTTAAAAGTTTCAATTGCGAATATAATATTTAAATTCTGAATATAATAATTAGTTTAGTATTTAAATTATTGGTCATAATTGTTTGAATTATTATTTATAATTTATTTTACAGAAAAATTTTATGAAGGATTTAACTCTTATTAATTTATTTTTTACGACTTTATCTTTATTTTCCTAATAATTTATTGGTCAAGTGATATCAAAGCGGAGTGGGAGAACGGGAGAGATCATGTGTATGTTTTTTCTAACAGAGGAAGTGTAGAGATCATGTGTATGTTTTTTCTAACAGAGGAAGTGTAGCAGTGTAGGCGTTTGTTTGAGATCTCAAATCAATTTATTTCGCCGTGTTTCAAGTGTTGTGCACTTTCCGTTTCTCTTTCTTCAGCGCCCTTAAAATTCGAAGGAAATACGACGCAGCTTCGTGGAAAGTGTGTTCGCTGCTTCGTAGAATGGACTTTCAATCATGACTAACCTGCGGTCATAAGTCATAAGTAGAGGTGGGTATCAGGACAAGCCTCGATCTTTAAAAGCTCAAATTTTAAACTTTAGTCATTCAAAATTTAACTTATTTCTAAGATCTGGCTTTTATTTATAAAGTTCGGATCTAGCTCTTAAGCCTTTTTTTTTTTAAATCTAATATCTTAATTTAAATAAAATATTTTAAAATTTAATATAAAATAAATTAAAGTTTTATATAAAATTCAACATAAAATTTGACAATGATTTATAATTTTAAATTTAAGATGAAAATTAAAATCTTCATCAATGTAAATTAAAATCCTTCTCATCATCATTTAAAAATAAAATATTAAATCCCTTAGTGTAGGTTCAATTGTTGAAGATATAGGTGCAAATTTAATGTCAATTATTCCCGCAACTTCTTCTTTATCACCTATAATAAATATTAACTAAATTATGCCATTATCAGCCAAATATATGTATGTGTATATATATATATAAATATATATAAAATAACCTGGCTTATCAAGGTTTGAAAGGTTATTTAAGATCAAACCCTTTTTTACAAGGTTTATCAAAGTCAAATTTTAAAATTCAATTATTTTAAAAAAATTTATTTTTTTAAATTTAAAATTTTTATTCAAACATGATCTTTAAATTTAATTTTTTAAATTTGATCTTTATTTCTGACTCTAGACAAAAATAGCGAGTCAACCTTCCAGTCTCCTCAGACCTGCGAAATCTCATCTTGTTTCACGCTCCAGCCTGTGGCTCTAGGCGTCTTCATTTTCAGGCTCAGTCTTGTGAGAGATTACATGGACATTTGACTCAGCAATTACTACGCGTCTTCTTGTGGGTTGGGGTTTCCCACTTTTTTAAAAAAGAAATTATATGGTACAAATATATGGACTTCCGAAACACACACACACACACATATATAAAATTGTGGAGTTGTTATATTTTCTCTTTTGATCAAATGTCAAAACATTGAAAACTGGAGCTCTGCATGAGCTCTCTATATATAGTGTCATTTTTTTTTTTTTGACAATACATAATGTCATACAGTTAAACAATACTTAAGGGGAGAAAAAAGGCAATTGGTGAAATAAAAAGTCACAATTTATACTTATGATTCCAACTTCCAAGAGTCTATTTTTATCTCACGTATATGTCCAGTTTCAAGAGAAAATTAATTATCTAATCATTATAGTTTGCATTTGGTTATAAATCAATCCCAGAACTTAAACTTGATACAACCCAATTTATATAATTTTGATTTAGTTGAAACACAATTCTTAAGTATTAATCCTTATAATTTTTTTAAAATATAAATTTTAATATTTCAAATGATTAAAATTATAGGTATTAAATTGTGTTGAGCAAAAATTAAGTGGCTTAGTTTCAATCCAATCAAGGGCATGTTTGTTTAAAATTAAAAATTAAGTGATTTTTAATTATTTTAGAGATTCTATAAAAAAAGATTTATTTTATAAAGATTTTATACAAAGCAGATATTATTGTTTGGTTACAATAATGAAAAAGTAGTTATTAATTAGTTATTTGAAAATTTTGTAATATCTTCTTATTTTTTTATAAAATGACTTGTTATTATATCATTTTAATATTTTATGATATTTTTGTGTATCTTATTTCTTTGAAATATTCTCTCTCATCTACTGCCTTGGGTTATTTTCAGCTTCTTAAAATTATTGAAAATCTGTTTTTATTTTTTTTAAATTTTGATTATTTTTAAAAGTTTAAACAAGCATAATAAAAACTCACAAAATAGATTTAAAAAAAATAAATGATTTTTTCTTGAAATAAGTTAAAATAAATGGACCCCAAAACTATATAAATTAAGTTTTATTCTATAACAAGATTGACTTTGTCGGTAAGCTTGCCAACTAAACCAAACTTTACTGGGTAGATTAAGTTTTAAATGAGTTAAAATTAGACAGATCAAATAATTCTCTCTCTTGTTTTTTAATAGTATACAAAACCTTTTTTAATTTTTAAAATACATTTTGTTTTTCACCTAAAAAAATGTTTGTTTTCCTCTTTTATTTTTCTTCGTAATCCGTCTGAAAAGGATCATGAGGAAGCTTCGTGGAGGTTTCTCATCGCCTTCCTCTTCAATTATTAAGCTGTACTTTTTCTCACCAGCATTATTGAACAGCGCTTCATCCCTTCATTCTTTGCTTTACTCAGCCTGTGAGTCCGCCAAAATCAGCCGCGCATGACGCTGCTACCATGGCACAACTAGCACTTTGCTCTTCTATCAATGACAAGTGGGACTACGATGTGTTCCTTAGTTTCCATGGAGAAGATACTCGATTATGTTTCGTTAGCATTCTCCGTGAATCTCTGCGTCAAAGAGGAATTCGTGTCTTTATTGATGACGAGTTCATCAGAACCGGAGAAGAAATCACGCCAGCACTTCTCAAAGCCATACAAGAATCCAGGATAGCCATCATAGTTTTCTCCGAGAACTATGCGAGCTCGACGTTCTGTCTGGAAGAACTTGAAAAGATTCTCGAGTGCTTTAAAGAGGAAGGTCGGTTAATATATCCAGTGTCTTATTATGTGGATCCATCAGAGCTGCGACGTCCAAGAGGAAGCTATGCGAAAGCGTTGGCCGGATTGGAGAAAAGATTTGAAGACAACATTCAAAAAGTACAAAAATGGAGGTTGGCTTTATTCCAAGCGGCTAACTTGAAAGGCTGTCATCTCAAATCCAAGTATGCTATCCGCCTTTTTCGGTTGTTATTTTTCTTCTTAATTATTTAGGTATTATTTTTCAACTATTTGAATATTATTTTTCCGACTTGCTTCTAACAAAATGGCCGAATCGGTTAGGCATGATTATACTTATATATATTATTTATATTATAAATTTTTTTTGTGGTTGTGATCAACGGGATTGGGATTTTATTTTCCTTTACCAAAATAAGTCGGGGTTCGGTTTCAGAGCACTTGCATAGTTACTTTGATGAGGAATGGAACTTTTTCTGTACAAGGAGGAACAAGGGAGACGACAAAAGTTAATTTAGGCTTGTCATATAATTTTTAGTTTGAAAATTAACATTGAACTTTTCTTCAATTGCTCAAGATTGCAAATGAACAAGAATATACTACAAAAATCATCGATGAAGTATCAACTAGGATTAATCATACTCCTTTACATGTAAATCATTATTCTGTTGGACTAGTGAAAGAAGTAGTCTCACTTTTAGATCTTTGGTCCACTGAGGAAAATAAAATGATAGGAATTATGGGAGTTGATGGGATAGGTAATTCAACGATCGCAAATGAGGAATTATGTTTGCTAGTTTGATAGCTAATCAATTTAAACGGTTCTGCTTTCTTTTTAATGTCAGAAAAGAGTCCCCAATGCCAAATGGTTTGGCACATCTTCAAGAGACATTACTCCGTACATTAGTCATAGAAAAGGATCTAAACTTGGGTGATTTTCATGAAGAAATACCAATAATAAAATGTAGGCTTGACTAGAAGAACATTCTTTTGATTCTTGATGATGCTGATGAATTGAAATAGTTAGAAGCACTAGTTGGAAGTTGTGATTGGTTTGGTCTTGGAAATAGAATTGTCATAACAAGGAATAAACAGTTATTAGTAACTCATGATGGGGCTAGAGGCCTCTAATGTGCATTTCTCTAATGCCCCAATGTTCCAATTTTGTTTTTTTATTTTTCTTTGGATCATTGGCTTCTACATAAAATAAGAGACATTTGGATATCTTGATGTCCTAAAATGGTGAAGATTTATATTTTTTATGATTTTTTCAAAAATAAAAGGGTGTATTTGTGATATTTTTCTTTAAAAAATCATAAAAAATACAAATCTTTACAATTTTGAGACATCAAGATATCCAAATGTCTCTTATTTTATGTAGAGAAAAATAAAAAATGAAATTGAAAAGTTGGGACATTACAAGATGCATTAGAGAAGGGCACATTAGAGGCCCCTAGCCCTGATGTTAACAGCATTTATAATGTTAGGGAAACTTTTTCTGTTATTAGTAATAGGAAACTAAAGCACTTGCATATTTAATTATTGAGATGAGAGGAATGAAACTTTTTCTATTAGTAGTAATAGGAAATTAAAGTTGATGAAGTTTCATTTTCTAAAATTCTTGTATTATAATTTTTCATTTGACTAAAAGTGAACTTCTTATGAATTGATCAGGATTGCAAATGAACAAGAATGTATTACAAAGATCATTAGCGAAGTCTCTACTAAGATTAATCATGATCTTGTTGACATTACTCGTCATCCAGTTGGACTCATGTCTCGAGTGAAAGAAGTGATCTCACTTTTAGAGCTTTGGTCTACTGAGAAAACTAAAATGGTAGGGATTTGGGGAGCTGGTGGAATTGGCAAATCAACAATTGCAAGAGCATTATTTAATTCGATAGCTGATAATTTTGAAGGAGTATGCTTCCTTTCTAATGTAAAAAAAGACTCCCAAATGCCAAATGGTTTGGTACATTTTCAAGAGACATTACTCCTTAAATTAGTCATGGAAAAGGATCTTAAACTGGGTGATTTTCATGAAGGAATACCAATAATAAAACATAGGCTTTGCCAAAAGAAAATTCTTTTGATTCTTGATGATGTTGATAGATTGAAACAGTTAGAAGCACTAGTTAGAAATTGCAATTGGTTTGGTCCTGGAAGTAGAGTTGTCATAACAAGGAATAAACAGTTGTTAGTAACTCATAATGTTAACAAAATTTATAATGTCCAAGAATTAAATGATGAGGAATCTCTTCAATTGCTCAGTTGGTATGCCTTTAAAAAGGAGAATATGAAGTTTGACTTCCTAAAGGTTTCCAATCATGCAATACAATATTGTTGCGGCCTTCCATTAGCTATAGAAGTGATTGGTTCTAACTTGCGAGGTAAAGGAGTCAATGAATGGTATTGTGCATTGGATCAATATAAAAGAAGTCAAGAAGGACCAATTTTGGAACCCCTTAGATCAAGCTATGATGCTTTAGGAGAAATTGAGAAAAATATTTTCCTAGACTTGGCATGTTTCTTTAAAGATGAAGATTTAAGAGAAGTCAAGGGTATGTTGCATTGTTTACATGAAACCCAACCAGACTATATTATTGAAGTTTTGATTGATAAAGCCCTCATCAAGATTGAAGGAGATCAAGTGGGAATGCATGGTTTGATAGAAGATATGGGTAAAATGATTGTTAAGCAAGAATCACCTAGTGAGCCTGGTAAACGGAGTAGGTTATGGTACTACCAAGATATTCTTCATGTTTTAAAACGAAACACAGTAAGATTCAAGAATATGTGAATTATGTTTTTTCTTCTTTAAAACTTACAATATGATTTTTGCATGTCTAAATTTTGAATTTTATTGTGTGCTATTCATGTTGAAAGGGAACTAATAAAGTTGAAGTCATAATTCTAGACATCCCTAAAGGTAGTAAAGTTCAAATACAATAGAGCGGAAAGGCATTCATGAAGATGAAGAATCTTAAAATGCTTGTGATAAAAAATGCAAGCTTTTCTAAATGCCCCAAATATCTCCCAAATGGTTTAAGGTGGTTGAAATGGAAGGGCTATCCTTTTAAAGTTTTGCCCTATAATATTTGCTCCACAGAACTTATTTATCTTGACTTGTCTTACAGTTATTTTGAATCACTCCAACCATTTACAAAGGTGAGCATACAAGTATAGCTAATACTTGCTATGTTTGATCATGGTTTATTTGCCTAACTTTCTAAAGAATTTATCATTGTTTAATTTTGTAGAAGTTCCACAGTTTAAGTTGTATGAACTTCAAAAATTGCAAATTTCTACAACAAACACCATATTTTTCTGGAGTTTCTAATTTAAGAGAGTTGTGGCTTGATGATTGTACAAATTTAATTGAAATACATCATTTAGTTGGAGGTTTAAATAAACTGAAAGAATTGAGTGCCATGCGATGCAATAACTTGAAGATTATGCCACCTGACCTTAGGTTGACATCTCTTGAGCGTCTCAGCCTCTTTGGTTGTTCAAGCCTTCAAAGTTTCCTAAAGATATCAATTAAGATGAAAAATATGCACACACTTGATTTAGAAAGAACATCTATTACTGAGTTGCCACCTTCTACTTGCAATCTCACTGGACTTGAAACCTTGAACATGGAGGAATGTCCTAATCTTAAGCAATTGCCAGCTGGCATTTGTTTGTTGCCAAAGCTTTGGACATTAAATGCAAATTCTTGTAAAAGAATGAGGCATTTTAAGATATGTGATGTAGGAGAAGAAGCAGACTTAGATTGCTATGCACTGTCTTTGAAATTGAAATGTTTTTGTTTATCAAATTGTAATTTATCAGATGACTCCCTTGCTCATTACCTACCTTACTTCACTAATATGACACATTTGGATCTAAGTTTCAATTATTTTACAATCCTTCCTGCATGCATCAAAGAATGTCACCATCTGAGATCTCTTTTACTAGATAATTGCAAGCATCTTCAACATATTAAGGACATGCCACCAAACTTGGAAAATTCAGTGCCATATGTTGCATGTTATTGACTAGGTCATCTAAAAGCAAAGTATTGTATCAGGTCTCTTTGCTGCTTCCCTCCCTTTACATATATATAATTACATCCTTTTTTTCTTATATTTTATTAATCATTTTTCTTATATGCAATTGGTAGGCACTCAACTTACAACCTGGGAAAAGAAACTTTATTTTTCCTGGAGGGAAATTCCCAGAAAATCTTGACAATTATGGTAAGCGAAGCTCTGTGTCTTTTTAGGTTCGTGATGTGTTACCGATAGTTTTTCTGTGGATCCTTGTTGAAGATGATGAGGATTTTCTCTCCAATTTGTGCATTCCTAGTGCATATCAATGACACCAAGGTAGATATATCTTACGAGTGGCTTTTGTTATCAACAATGAAGAGGGGTCATTTACATATATGTGATTTGCAAAGCATGATTGGAAAGGCTAAACTCAGCCATGTATATAAATGGAATCACGTAAAGGTTTCCATTAAGAGAAAGACACAAGATATAAAAAGTGAAAGTGAGATTCATTTTGCACTTCATGTCTACAAGCTACAAAGTAACTCAAACACCATCCGATTCACAGACCCTAGAACAAATGATGATTGTAGCTCGTGGCAAAGAGTACAAAAATCACAAAATTGTGAAGAACTTGAAGATGACGTGCCTTACCTAGGTTTGGTCTCTCCTTTCCTTTTGTCTTATTTTATTTTTTTTAACATATATTAAAGTATACTCCTTTTGGTTCTACTTAAAAGTCATTTCCAACACAGTTAACTAGAATTAAAAAAAAAATCCTTAAAACTCATTAACCAGTCTTAATTTAGTAAGTTTTTAACCTTACTCCTATTAAATATATATACTATTTTAACAATGTATTTTACCTCACCAATATTTAATGAGGGATAAAAAGAAAAACTTGCGATAAAATTTTTTGATAACATGACTTATAACTATGATTAAAAAAATCATTTTCTCTTTGCATTCTACCATATAAATAGGACTAGGTGAGTATACCTTGATCACTAGGCGTGGCAACAAGTCCAACAATCCCAAGATAGAAAAGTGCTTGAAGATGATTTAAATAAGGAAGAATCTCATCTAGGGTCTTTAAAGGAGAAAAAATTACACTGAGAGCCAATGCATTTTGAAATTATTCTATAGGTCTTAGAGCTCTTTTTGAAAATATGTTTTAGGGAGAAAAGACACAATTGCCTTTAGTGAGAAAGATAGAACTTTAGGTTTATTACCAATTGATAATTACTTGTTAACATGTAAACCTAAAGTTATGAATTTATCTACATCTGGTTGTAAAAATTTGAACATGCTGTCATGATAAACTTTAGCTTTAAATATATAAAATTATAAATTCTGTACTTTAACTTGTGAGTTGATGAACCTATACTTATGAATATTTAAACTTTAAGTTGTAAATTTATTAAATTGGCCAAATGAACTTGTCAACCTTGAACAAGAATCTTACTACCAATGGATAATTAGTTGTTAATATATGAACCTAACATTGTGAATTCGTGAACATGTTGTAAAAATATGAACTTATTGCCTTGTCTCACTAAGGGCACTTATGTCTTTTCTCCCTAAAATATATTTGCCAAGAAGATTTTTGAACCTGCAGAGTAATTTTAGAATGTATTGGGCCTTAAGTGCAGTTTTTCTCTCTCTTAGGGAACCATATGAGATTCTCCATTTGAATAGGGAATGCAACATATTTGGCATTTGCCACACTTCTCTTCACAACAATTTTAAAAGTGTTATTTAGTTTGAATAAGTAACAATTTTTCATGTGTTGCTATTAATTTCTACTTTAAACAATAATTGTTTTGCAACAAATAAAAATTGTTTCCTAAAGTGGAATTGGAAATAGTTTTCAATTGTTGAATTAAAAATTTCAGATAATCAACATAAAAATTAGGATAAATGAATAAATTACTTTATGAACTTTAGGCCCAGTAACATTATAGACTCTAAATTTATTTATTATGTAATTTGTTCCATCAACTTAAAAATGTTGTAATTTGACCCTTGCCATTAATAAAAGTTAACTTTGATCGTTAGTTGATTAAAAAAATGATAGAGAAGGACATAAAAAAATGACAGAAAATGATCAAGATTTTTTTGGGTCATTTTCCATAATTTTTGGGTCATTATTTATAATTTTTGAGTCATTCATTATAATTTTTATCCTTTTCTATCATTTTTGAAGTTATTTTCTATCATTTTCTGGTTAATTAATGATAAAAGTTAAATTTTGTTAATGGCATGGGCAAATTATATCATTTTTAAAAGTTGAGAAAATAATTTATATAATAAACAAGTTTAGAGTTTTTGGTGTTACTAGAGTTAAAGTTTATAAGGTTTACCCTAAAAGTTATTGCCAACAAAACTATGTTTATTGCAACATTCGAAAAATATTTCCTATTATGGAAGCAACTGCAAATAATGTTGCCTTTAAAATTTTCTTTTTGCAACAAAGAACTATTTCCTATTGTTTCCCTGTACAAGAAACATTCGCCATCTTTTTTTTTTTGGTTTGGATGATTTTTATACATTTTTATTAAATTTATTTATTACTTAGATTATTTCAGAAATTACTTTAAAAATCATCTCTATATATATAATGGCTACTACATGATAGAGATGTTGAAAGGGTAGTTGGAGTTATCTATTTCTTTCACAAGAGGTGTAGGGTTTGAATCCTAGATGTCGAAGAAATATTGAATTTTGTCTATTTTATATTTAGGCAGCAATTTTTAATTGTTACTTAGGATTTAAATCATTTAAAGTTGTAATTGGTAAATTTTTGTGAAGTTTTTTTTAAGAGAGAGAGAGAGAAGATTTGATATATTATAAAAGAATAATAAAATGAGTAAAAATACTTGAAAAGAAAACTTCATCAAAGTTTACCAGTTCTAACTTCTGAGGATTCAAATGTTTGTTACTTATTCCTATCAAAAAGCAATATTTTAGAATTGTTACAATTGGGTGACAAGAAAACTATTGTTTATTTCGATTCAATACACACAATTTTTCAGACTTGATAGTTAGAAAAATAATTACCCTAGATAACAGGTAATATTGAAATATGCAATAGTTGAAACCATATATGCACCAGTTTTCACAACTGTAACAGTTTTAAACTGTTGTTATAAAAAAATATTGTAGTGAAGGATACGAATTCAGTCAAATCGACATAATCAAGATCTCAACAAGTGATCAATTTTGTTTGCCCTTCATCTTTTTACATGTATTATTATGCTGCCATTGAATTTAGTTAAAGTCATGTGATTGTTTTTATCATTTTTAAACTAGATACTTTTTTCTTTTTTTCAAATTTAATATTGAGTATTTTATATATTTATAAATCTACCAAATCCATACGTAACAACAATGTTCACAACGGTAAACAATGCACCTTGATATTTGGTCATCTAGTGAATCCAACTATATATTAAGTGTTCAAATTTGTAAAATTTTAAAATCATTTTTATTCGATAATTAACTATACTCTCTTCTATAGTGGCCAAGAAATAAAAATGGAGTCCCTCCTGTACCAATTTTATCTTCATTTTATATATAAACATGCACAAATAAAAATAAAAGAATTTTCTTAATTTTCTTTAAAATAAAAAATTTATTAATTATCATTGATCAAGTAATCATTGGATGATCCATGCCCTTTATTAAAACTGTGATTTGATTTTAAAGTCTCTCTCTTCGATCACTCATGCAAGTTGACTTGTTTATAACTAATAGCTGTAAGTCAAAATTTCTAACTCAAACATCTTGATGTACTTGTCAAGACATAGATACAAGGATGGCCAATCTCTATGAGCGAGCATACCCATCCAGATGGATCTATGATGTGTTTTTGAGTTATGGAGGTGATTATGGATGTTCAAGCTTTGTTAGTCGTCTCTGTAATTCCATGTGTGCCAAAAGAATCCGTATTTTGCCTAATGATGAATTCCTCACCCCTAGTGTGGAAGAATTCAATGCAATGGAAGAATCCAGGATAGCTATCATAATTATCTCCGAAAACTATGGATCCTCGACATCTTGTTTAAATAGCCTTGCAACCATTCTTGAGTGCTTCAGAAAAGAATGTCGATCCGTTTACACAATATTTTATAATGTGGAGCCATCAAAGTTGCAATATCAAACAGGTAATTGTGAAGAATTATTTGCTATGCTTGAGAAGAAATTAAAACACAGCAAACAACAAGTGCAACAATGGAGGTTGGCTTTGTCTGAAGTAGTTTCAAGAGGCAGATACTATTATTTCAATCGCAATCCCAATCTTAGGTATCTCCTCACCCTTTTCCATAGTTTTTCTCCTTTCTATTATTTGGCCATTACTTTACCTATTCCTCATTACTTCTCAAGTGGCCCTTACCTCATCAATTGAATACATCACATAGAATTTGATAATATGACTTTTAAAATTTTGATATATTATATATAAATATAGATTATGTATACATATAGATGTTGATTCTAGCACTAAATAATTCTAATAAGCATTATTCTGCTTTAATTATGTGGGAATATAGATGCTTGGCTTGGTGGCAGTTATATAGTATTCTTGGTCGCTTTCAAAATGAGTTGAATGACAAACATAAAAAACAGTAATTCTGTGAATGAAAAATTTTTTTCATGTATTTGAATAATATTTGATAAAAATTTAATTACAAATATATATTATAATATAATATAATAAATTAAATCAATATTATATATCTTATGTTGCACAAATCAAACCCTAGGTAGATTCCAAAAGAAAATGGAGATTATACTTGCAAGAAAAAAAAATGACTGTATTTACAATAATTTTAAATATTTATTCCAAAAAATGAAAAATTAGTTTTCATATTTTTTATAATTTTAAAAAGTATAGGAACAGATAATTGAACAATAGCTATATGCCTTATACTATCGATTATCAAAACACTGGGCAGGAAAAAAAAAAAGAACATTTTCTTGTGTGCTGCTGTTTTCTTGTTGGAGAGATCATACTAAATGTAGGCATCTTTTTATATAGATTCAAACCTTATTTTGTCATGTGAGAGACTAGCTTTTTTGGCTAGGTTCGATTGTTACTTTGTTATGTAGTTTAATTAATAACTAAAGAAATTCTATTTGCAAGTTTTTACTTTTTATAGTTTTTCTTAATTTTAAATTAAATCCCTGCAATTTATCATGTTTTAACTGAGCTTTTACAATTTAATTAATTTAATTTTTTAATCCTTAAGGTTTAAAATCCTTAAATTTTCCCTTAAAAAAATTTAGAAAATTTATATTTTTATTAGATGATATTATAAATTTAGAATTAATCACATAATTTTTATTATTCAAAATTTATATAATTACGTTTTTTAATATTTTTAAATGTATAGAATTTTCCTAAAAATTTCCAACAGTGTATTAAATAATTTTTTTAAATTTTGGCTAAAAGTATTAAATTAAATTTTTTATAAACCTTAAGAGTATTTTTGTGTTGGGAAATTTAATAATTCATTATTAATTTTAATTTTTAGGGTTTAACATATATAATAGGTCAAATAATAAGGGCTTAATACAGGGACCTAATTCAAAATTGAGCAAAACTATATGGACCTCTAGATTAATTTTCCCTAATAACTATACCTGTCTATTTAAAAATTTATTTATCACTGTAATAGCTTAGTATTTTTTTTAATAAATGTAGCTAAATCCAAGGTTAGTTTACTTATATATATATATATATATATATAGTTCTATGAAAATCCCATTTTTAATCATGTATGTCAAGAGTGCAATTCATCCTTATTGCGAGAAATTTTTTTTTTGGGGGTGGGGCCCTGCTTCCATTTTCTAAAAGTACTATATCATAATTTTTGTTTGACTAAAAGGTGAAATTCTTTAAAATTGCTCAGGAATGCAAAAGAGGACAAGTTTATTCAGGGGTTCATTTATGCAATCTCTTCAAGTATTAATGCATTTCCATTTCGCATTCGGGATGATTCAGTGGGACTTGAGTCTCGGGTACAGGAAATAATCTCACTTCTAGATGTTGGATCTAATGAGGAAGTCAAAATGGTAGGAATTTGTGGAATTTTCGGAATAGGTAAATCAGCATTAGCACGTGCTGTGTGTAATTTCATTGCCCATCATTTTGAAGATTTATGGTATTTTTCTCCTATATCAGAGGAGTACCGAACTTTGGGTAATTTTCTGTATCCGCTCTGTCTTACTGAAAAAGCCAGGGGCAACTATTCTAGTTTGGATAATTTCCTTAGGATAATAAGACAACCCTGGTTCCCGCAAAGGAAGAATCTTGTAATTCTGGATGGTGTTGAAGAATTGGATCATTTGTGAGCAGTTAATGAAGGATGTGGCCGGTTAGGTCAAGGAAGCAGGATCATTATCACGACAAGGGATAAGCAGTTATTAGTAAGTCATGGTATTAAAAAAATTTATGATGTCAAGAAATTAAGTGATGATGAGGCTCTTCAAATGCTTTCTCGAATTGGTTTTAAAAAGGATAATGTGAAATCTAGTTACATGGACGTTTCAAAACGTGCAATACTTTGTTCAGGTGGCATTTCGTTAGTTTTGAAGGTGATGGGAAATTACTTATTTGGTAAAACAGTAAATGCATGGAACTGTGTAATGGATGAGATGGAAAAAGACCCAATGAAGATGCTTCGGCGCTTCAGTGAATTCAGACTCAATGAGGAGCAGCTAAAGGAGTTTATTACTTTTATGAAGGAGAAAGAGCCTAAGTCAATTGATTCATCAACGGAGAAGGGTACTAATAGAAAGAGAGAGAGGGAAGACCCCAAAAGAGAAGAGACACAAGTTGAGGGGAAGAAGTGCCATGCTTGAAACATAACCTAATCAAATATCAAAATTCAACAGTCAGCATGGTTTGAAAAGCATGTTAAACATGCACCTATTCCTTTTTGGTCTTGTACATGCATGCTACTGTTCTTTCTTGTGTGATAATGAACAATTCTGATTTTGTTGCGACCATAATGCAAGCAGCTTCTAATATTACATTTTATTGTCGTAAGTATAATGAGTGGCTCTAAAATTTAAGAAGCTTATAGAAAAATGTTTTTACTGAATAATACTCTTCATTGGATCCATTGGGTCTGGGAACAAATATACAAAAACAAAAATATGTATACCCCAGAACTCAGAGATACTATTCAGCAGCATTAATCAATACTTTCGACTAAGCTCAAGAGCGGATTGATTTTCTTGAAAAGGTGGTATTAGACAGATGGTAGCAATTTGCACCCCTTAAGCATTATTTCATGTTTTGAGTCCTGAAAAAGAATATATAAAAAAATATTACTTAAAAAAGACAATCCCTTAAATAATTCTCAAATTTTTCAGAGGATTAGTCTCATAGTTACTGGTTATGGACATACCTTGGACAAAAAAAAAAAAAAAGGTGGTGCTAGATTGGATTTACAGGAAGCTGCACCAGCGGAGTAAATCATGGTAATATGGCAAAGTATAATATTTCATAATTGCGTGAATATAAATTTGTAACTTTGAAATTGAGTTTTGATTAAAGAACACATCAAATTTAATAAGTATGTTGGTTTTGTTGATTCAGTATGTTCTTGCGCATGCATATTGTTATGCTTGGATGAACCACGACGCAACGGCCATGGAGCCTCAGGTTATATGGAAGACTTATTGTGGGAAAAAAAAATATTTGGTCAAAACTTGTGCAAATTAAGTGTTCATTTTTTTTAATCACCATTTTTCAGTTTACTAGTTCTGTAGCAGAGTTTTATCTAAGAAATGATTAATCAAGTATCTCCCAGATATTTGGTTTTGACTTTTAACATTGCTATTTTGAATTCAATAAAATTAACATGGTTATTTGAATTTTTTTCCTTTTGAATTTTGGGTAAAATATATGCAGCCGATATTGTCCTGACTGTCTCTGAGGATTTTGCAGTATATATTAAAAAAATGCATGTCAGATTTGGAATGCATTCAATCAAGGATATGTAATGGCTATACATGTAGATGCCACTGTTGGTGGCGTTTGCATTTGGGATTCATCACCGTGAGTACCGAACCATTTTAATCCAAATTGATTCTTGCTGTCCATTTAAATTAATTTTTAAATATTTTTAGTATTATATTTATTAAAATATAAAATATAAAAAATTTAATATTAAATCTAGACTATTTAAAGTACATTTAAATAGTTAATTTATAAAATTTATAAATTTTTAATATTAAATTAGGTCATCTAAATTATATCTGAACTGTCCAAGTCTATCTGGATATTCAAATTATAAAATTATAAAATTTTTTAATATTAAATTGAACTGTTAAATTAAATTTGTATTGGCCATATTGCGAATGAACATATTTATCAAAATTTTAAATTTTTTAAATTTTTATATTAATAAATATAATATTAAAAATAAATTTAAATGAATGGTAGGAATTAATTTGGACTAAAATGAAGGGTGAAGATTGTTCCTAACCCTGATGAGCATGCAGTGATGAGCACAGAATGCAAATTGACTGTCAGTGTAGGTTTTCATCTGTGATTTCTTTAGTAACATTGGCAGAAGCAAGGGAGAGGAGTCTCTCCTTTTCTTTCTCTCCTTTTTCCTCCACTTCCCCAATCTTTTCCCTCCATTCATTCTATAATTTAAAATTTTTTTATAATAAAATTTGGCATAGGAAAAATAACTTCTCTTACTCTATAATGGAAAGGTGTCTCAAGCAAATAACTCATTCAAGAAATTAAAAAGTTAAAATTTTTGAAAATTGCATGCAACAAGAATTTCAATAAACAATTTGTCCCTCTGATTAAAGACTTGCAGATCTCTATTGCTGAGGATTTTGTTCAACAATCATTGGAACTTCAAGTTCATTTATTCACATGGAAGATCCAAACTCGTAGATTCAAGGAAAGGGGGGGAGGGGAAAGCTTATTGTTTTGTGGAATTCTCTTTCAATAGTGAAGACATTTGCCCTCTCTTCCACTAGAATTCTTTGCAATGGTATGCATTCAAAGCTTGCTTTGTTGGATAGGTAACTTCTAGGCGAATCAGTACAGTTCTACAATGGAAAAGCCACCATTTAGTTTCTTTTAATTTTCCTTGTCTGACTTTAATTTTATGACTTTTTTTTTGGTTAATATATTTTATTTTTTAATAAATGAGAAACTAACTTTTAAATTTAATTAAAACACATGACATGAGCTTTTCTTCCCTCCCTCTCTTGTGTTTTCTCTCTCACCTTGAGAGTAATTGGTTGTCTTTTTTCTATCTTCTCAACTTCAGAAAATTTTGTTGTGTTTCTCATTTTAGGAACTGTTTGATTATTGAAAAAGATGAAAAGCCACCATTTAGTTTCTTTTAATTTTCCTTTATGACTTTCTTTGTTAATATATTTGATTTTTTTTATAAATGACAAACTAACTTATAAATTTAATGAGAAATGATAATAAAATCTCTTTAAATTATGTAAATGATAATTTAATCTCTCAAAATGTAATAATACTAATGAAGTACTTATGGACCTCTTTGTTAATAACTTTTTTAAAAAGAAGACCATTTTACCCTTATTGAAAGTAACAAGACCCAATCACAACTTTTGCTTTGTAAATTGTAAGAGTTGAACAAAAAATCACAACTTGTCAAATGTAATTTCTATTATTAAAAAATAAGCCCTGATCACAACTTTTGTTTAAGGAATAATAATTTTTATTTTGTGAATTGCAAGAGTTGAATAAAAAATCACAATTTGTTAAGTATAATTTCTAATATTGAAAAACAAGTTCATAAAATAACAAACTCCATCTATAACACTTATTTAAAGAATCACAATAATTGAACAAGAAATTATAATTTGTCAATACGGGTAAAATGGTCTTTTTAAAAAAAATTATTGATAAGAAGGTTTCTAGAGACATCATTGATATTATGGCATTTTAAAAGATTAAATTATTATTTATATAATTCAGAGCAATTTTATTATCATTGTTCCTAAATTTAATTAAAACACATGACATGAGCCTTCCCTTCCTCCCTCGTGTATTCTCTCTCGCCTTGAGAGTGACTAGTTGTCTTTCTTCTATCTTCTCAACGTCAGCAAATTTAGAGAATTAAAATGATTACTTTGTTGAATTTCTCATTTTAGGAGCTGTTTGATTGAAAAAGATGAATTAAAAATAAACTAAAAAATAAATTAAATCACTCTCTTCTTATCATAAACATATTAAAAATTAATACTATATATACTACAAATAAAAAAATTTCATGAATCAAAATTCTCAATTTTATTATGAACTAAATTAATCTTCCATCTTGGTGGACATGCATGATTAACTTATTTATTTTTAGTTTACTTTTTTTTAAATCCATTCCAATCTCCATATTTCCTATCAACAAACCACCTCTAGGTGCCTTTCCTGCCTCCAATTTCGGCAGAGAAGTGACTGGATGAGGTGTGCCTCAAGTCAATTGAGAGACTAAACCACAACGTAATCATGGTATTTAAATCTAGATTACTTATCATCATGCCAATTTATCAGCATAGAGATGACATAACTAACATATCAGAACTCAAGCATTAAACTTTGTAACATCATCCATGCCATTAACCTTCTATTCCTTCGTCATATATAACAAAATAATTTTAAAAAACTCTCTGTTTTCCCAAAATGAAAGGGAAATGTGAACTTTTATGTTTTAAATGTTTCTAAGATATTCTGATATTGTATTTAATTTGATTTTCTGCCCAATTAAAATGATTCATTCCCATGAAATATATCTTTTCCTCACTTTGCTTTCTCCGGTTCACTTATCCCCCCTTCTAAATTGTATCTTTCTGCATCGTCGTTGAAATTGAGGGAATATAACTAATTAAGCTTCCTGGATTTGTCAATTAACTTGTCTTCTTTAATCTTTATTTTGGACATAGACATAGTATTTTGTCGCCATGATTATTAAATTTACAATCATTGAAGAGATCGCACAATAAAATGGAATATATATCTATAATCAAATATTGAATTCGTATAATAGTCGTTGATATATTCCTCAATCGGATGACGTGTTATCAGTGTCAATATGAATTAATAAAATTGATAATGCTTTTCTTCAAAAGTAATAAATAATATATGTCACTTTGGGATGTACCTTTATCTTGTTGAGCCAACAAGATTTAATTCACCTAATCTTTTTTTTAATGAAAATCCAACAGAATTTTTAATGAAAGAAAAAATAGATATGCCTTATAAGTAGTTTCTTTTATGGCTGTTTTCACATCTTAATTCGTCAATGAATCATTTTGTATTCGAATCACAGTTCTTATAAATTTAAGGATATATTATATTACTAAACCGAGATGTTAGATCTGCCAGAGAAATATTTTAATGAAAAAATTGCTTATATTTTGATTTTAAGGGAGGACAGTAATGTATTTAAAAATTTTAAATAAATTTAATAACTCTAAAACAATTTTAATTTAATACAAATGAGCATTTTATTTTATGAATCCTAAGGCAGTCAATTCGGGGCCTTTTTTTTTTTTTGGGTGGGAAGAGGCTTTGTAGTTCGTATATTGGCAAGAACTTCAACGGTTAAGCTGCCATTCTTAACATTCCTGTGAGATCTCTCTTCTTGCTTTAATCTACGCTCTCATGGCACAGCCAGTAACATCCTCTTCTATCTCTTACAAATTGGTTTGTCATGTGTTCCTTAGTTTTCACGGTAAAGATACTCGCTTAGGTTTCATCAACAATCTCTATGAATCTCAACATCAAAAAGGAATTCATGCCTTTATTGATGATGAAGGAATCAAGACAGGGGAAGAAATATCACCTGCACTTTTCAAAGCCATACAAGAATCAAGAATAGCCATCATGGTTTTTTCTGAAAACTACGCAAAGTCAACATTTTGTTTGGAAGAACTAGTGAACATTCTAGAGTGCTTCAAGGAAGAAGGTCGGTTGATATATCCAATATTTTATTATGTGGAACCATCGGAGCTTCGACATCCAAGAGGAAGCTATAAGGAGGCATTGGCGAGATTGGAGGAATGATGCAAAGACAACAAGCAGAAGGTGCAAAAATGGAGGCTGGCTTTGTCTCAAGCTACTGATCTTAAAGGCTGTCATCTCAAACTAAAGTATATCTTCTTAACCTTTGCCCTACATTTTTTTTGTTATAGTCAATTAGAATTTTAGGCCCCAATCTTTTGTTGGCGGCACCAACAGCAGACGTGAACGGCGAAGGACAAACTGCTTGAGTTGTGCCCAGAAGGACACTGTCCTTAAAAACTATTCCGGCACACCGGAACGACGAACCGGCAGTTCCCCAAGATTAAACAAGCACTTCCTGCGGAGCAAGGGAACAAAACAACAGAGACCAAAAAGCAAACATAGATGAACACGAGAGCAGAAGGCAGAGGGAGGAGAGAATTGCCCCGAAAACTCAAGAGGTTGGTGCTCTGTTCTGTCCACACCCATAGCTATATATAGCCCGAAGATGGAGACATGAACGTTGGCTCATAATCATCAGATTAAAGCTTCGGTTACACTCTCATAAATCACGTTTAAACACTTGTCTAGGGGGTTATGCAGACGTAAATCACAGTTAAGCCTCTGTCTAGAAATGTTGGCAGACAAAATGTTTAAGATATTAACTTTACAAAATTGATTAATCTGGAGACGTTGGCAGACAAAAATGTTTAGGACATTAACTCACAAAATCGGTTTTTAGAAGAGGTTGAATGCTAAAAAAACTGCCAAGGCTTCAAGTTCAAATTTGAAACAGCAAAACCAAAGGGTTTTTGGGTAAGCTAAAAATAATTATTTATTTAATTATTTTTGTAAAAATAACCCGGTAAAAGGAACCCATTGCCTCTTGAACTCGCGCGCAGGGAAGGGCGAATCGGCTGATTTCAACTGCGATTGCCTTGTGTTGGCTTGTCTCATGTGCGAGAGGCTACTTCTCCTCCAAGCCCATTTTACTACCCCACTTCATTCCTTAGTATATACACACTAGGAAAGTCCTTCTTTTGGTCAATGTGGGACTTTGACACACACACACACTTTTGATACATATACAATAATCCCCCACATGTGTTAAAAGGATCTATGTTCATCTGTGTCATTCACACGGAGGATAATCACTTCAAATTTGGTGTCTATCGAATTGAACCAAACTTAGACTAATAAAACTTAGCATACAAAAAAGTCAGTGTAACTTTGTTATTGAACCAACAGATCTTAAGCGTGTACTAGAGGTCTTATTAATCAAATTATACCCCCACAGTCTCTGCTATTAACGATGGTTTTGCACGTTATTGGCCATGCGCGCGCCTGGTTTTAACAAATGCTCTAGAGATTTCGCCACGATCTCATAGGAGCAGCCCCACTCCATATTTGTATAAGTGTTTTCATCAAGTGTATCTGCAATGAATACACCATCCATAAGGACTATGAAAACATTAAGAGCTTTCGCTCAACCTCCATTCAATGCATTCTAGCACTTTCTCAAGCCATAGGAAGGGACAAAATTTAGTGCTAGCAAAACTAACAAGTGACTTGTTCTTACCCATTGAACCTTCTTCATGGGATCTCCAATCACAAAGGTTGGGTTACCATCACCGTTAATTTCAAACGGGCTTAAGTCCCATTTACCTCGACATTTTAATAATAAATTTTTTCCCTAGGGGTTTAGTTAACGGATCCGCCAAATTTAACTATGATCTCACATAATTGATTGAGATGACCCCATCTTTGAGCAGCTACCTTATAATATTGTGTCTCAATCGAATATGTCTACTTTTACCATTGAAGGTCTTATTTTTAGCCGTTGCTATTGCAAACTGGCTATCACAATGTAAAGACACTGATGGTGTGGGCTTTTCACCTATTGAAATACTCGCTAAGAAGTTTTTCAACCACTCAGCCTCAGTCCTAGCCAACTCCATGGCAATGAACTCAGAATCCCTTGAGGATTTTGTGTTGATTGTCTGTTTTGTAGACTTTTAGGTTATTGCACCACCACCAAGAGTGAATATATAACCACTAGTGGATTTTGTCTCTTCTGAATCCGAAATCCAGTTAGCATAATTGTATCCTTCCAATACAGCAAGAAATCCACTATACAATATATCATAATTCATGGTACCTCTCAAATATCTCAAGACTATCACCAGAGCCTCCCAATGTTTACTGCCTGGACAGTGGGCATATCTGCTTAATCTGCCTACAACATAAGCTATATCAGGCCTAGTAAAATTTATCAAATGCAACAGACTCCCAATAATCTGTGCATACTCAGATTGAGCAACTGGGTCACCCTTGTGCTTTTTTAATTGCACACTCAAATCATAAGGAGTACTCAGAGGAGCATCTTCAAGATGTCCAAACTTTTTGAGAATTTTCTCAACATAATGTTCTTGGGAAAGAAAAATTCTATTTTCATTCCTTATAATTTTTACACCCAAGATTACCTTGGCTTCACCCATATCTTTCATATCAAAATTTGAAGAAAGAAATTTTTTTGTTTCATTAACAACACACATACTAGAGCCAAAAATTAGCATATCATCCACATACAAGCATATAATCACACAATCATTATTCACTAGTTTTGTATAAACACATCTTTCTACTTCAACAGTAGAAAATCCACCAGTTGTCAAAACTTGATCAAATTTCTCATGTCATTGCTTAGGCGCTTGTTTTAAGCCATACAAAAACTTGACAAGTTTACAAACTTTATTTTCTTGCCCAAAAATCACACATCCCTCAGGTTGTACCATGTAAATTTTTTCTTCCAAATCACCATTTAAAAAAGTGGTTTTAACATCCATTTGGTGAACAAAAAGCTTGTAAATTGAAGCCAAAGCAATAAGAACTCTTATAGAAGAGATTCTAGTCACAGGAGAAAATGTGTCAAAATAATCTATATTTTCTTTTTGAGTAAAACCCTTAGCCACAAGTCTTACTTTATATTTATCAATTGAATTGTCTGGAAAATATTTTTTCTTAAAAATCCATTTACACCTAATAGCCTTAGCTCCTTGGGGTAAATCTGCTAAAATCCAAGTTTTATTTTTTCTTAAAGAATTAATTTTAATTTCAATTGCTTTTTTCTAAAATTTGGCATCAGGTGAAGAAATAGCTTCATAAACATTGAATGGTTTATCTTGTATTAAATAAATGTAAAAATCATCTCCAAAACTTGTTTCTTTCCTTTGCCTTTTACTTCTCCTTAAAACCAAATCCTCATTTAAATTTTGTTCAAACTCCAAATTTTCAACAGGTTTAGAAACATGCTTAATTTTCAAGGGAAAAATATGTTCAAAAAATTCAGCATCCTTAGTCTCTACAATTGTGTTTTGGTCTAAAATATCACTTTTTAAAGCTAAAAAATGATATGCTGCACTTTGTTCAACATACCCAATAAACATACAATCAGAAGTTTTAGAACCAATTTTTCTCTTTTTAGGGTCAGGAAATAAAACTTTTATAAGACACCTCCACACTTTCAAATATTTTAAATTTGGGGTAAACCCTTTCCATAACTCATAAGGTGTTTTCTTTGTTTTCTTATGAGGTATCCTATTTTGTAAAAAACATGCAGACAAAATAGCTTCACCCCACAAGTTATCAGGTGCAGAAGAACTCACAAGCAAAGCATTCATCATTTCTTTTAATGTTCTATTTTTTCTTTCTACAACACCATTAGACTCGGGAGAATAATGAGATGTTATCTCATGTATAATTCCTTCTTTTTCAAAAAAATTATTTAACAAAACATATTCTCCACCTCTATTAGATCTAACCCTTTTAATCCTTTTGTTTAACTAATTCTCAACTTTTGCTTTATATAAAAGAAATTTTTCAAAAGTCTCATCTTTGTTTCTTAACAAGTATACCGTAGTATATCTTGAAAAATCATCAATAAAAGTGATATAATATTTTTTTCCTCCTCTAGTCATGGTTTGTTTTAAATCACCTAAATCTGTGTGAATTAAAGATAGTAATTCATATTCTCTTTGACTAGAAAAGTGAGGTTTTTTACTTTGTTTAATTTCTGCACATACTTCACATTTTTCAAAATCATTGTTTTTAATTTCAAAAAGTAGTTCAAGTTGTCGCATCCTATTTATATAACCTTTACTAGCATGACCTAGTCAGCATGCCACAGATCAAATGAATCAACCATATAAACATGCATATACTCAGAAGATTTAATCTTATTCATTTCATCAACATTCAAAACAAACAGTCCTTGATTACAATACCCTTTGCCCACAAACACATTATTTTTTGTCATTACAATCTTGTCAGATTCAAATGACACTTTAACCCCAGCTTTCCCTAAAAGAGCAACTGACACTAAGTTAGCTCTAACTTCAGGCACATGCAGAACATCGTTCAGAGCCAGAGTGTTTCCTGATGTGAGCTTTAAGACCACTTTACCTTTTCCTTGAACTTTGGCAGTTCGGGAATCAGCAAGGTAAACATGGTCTTCCCCTTCCTTTGCAGGATTATAGGAGGTAAACATCTCCTGGCTAGCACATATGTGCCTGGTAGCCCTAGAGTCTACCACCCATTTCTTCACATCAGAAATCAAGAGAGCTTATGAAACCACTGTAGCAATGATGTCATCATCACTGTTACCATCTCATTGTACCAAATTTACATTTGGCTTTCGAGGCTTATCACGATTTGCTCTCTTCCTATGCTGTGCTGCATAGTGTCCTAGTTTACCACAGATAAAACAGTCTCCTTTCTTCTTGAAAGAGGGGTTAGAAGCATTGGGTTTGTAATCAGATTTTCTATTCTTCTTGTCTTTAGTTTTAGGATCATACCTCTTGTTATGAGGCTTTGTCTCTACCAGGTTGGCTTTAGATGTCATTTCTCTGGTTCGAGCTGTACGTATTACCTTGCGGTTGGTGTCTTCGATGATGATGTGAGTGATCAGGTTAGTTAAGAACAGCTGCTTCTATTTGTGTTTCAGCTGCTGTTTGTAATCAAACCATGATTCTGGCAGCTTCTTAATCAGGATCCCAACAATAAAC